AAATAAAAAACTAATTAACTAAGACTGTTTAAAAACTTTAATATTCTAAATGTCGTATAAATGAAGTATTCCTTACTCGTTTAATTCATGTACTGGATAGTAAGAATATGTATACTTTGTTTGAAATGAATGTATCTATCATAAATCCTCTTTTTGTATTATATAAAATGTCTAGTATGATATTATGAGTCTGTTATGTTGCTATGAAATGATGAAATCCATACTAAAATATCCGAGGGAAGAAAAGATTCTATTCTTCCGATCTTGAATGCTTTCTCTAACAACGTATATTTTATAAGGGAATGTAAAAGAAGTCTTAAATTTATCTAAGTATGCAAGACGTCATTTAAATCTTATATAAGCCACTGGGAAGATGTAAGAGATAACAATCAGCAAAACGTTTTCTTGGAAGAAAATGTTTGAGAATGCAAGAAATCTTTACTTTGTCAAATTCTCACTTGCGCGAAAAACCACCGACTACCCCTTCCCCTCCCCATAATGTCTTTCTCACAATTACTCTTTCTCGCTCTCCAAGGGCTCCATCTTCTAAAAATGTTCTTCCGTTTATCATATCAAATGTTCCTTTCCTTATATCATTGAAGTATCTCTTTTATCGCGCCAGAAATGGAATTCTCTACGGATATTTTTTGAGTTCCTCAATGCATCTTTAGCGAGCACAGGAAGATAACAATTTATAAATGTCTTATGATCGAGTTTTATTTATTTAAAACATCATTTTCTCTCACATTTTTGTTTACGATCAAGCATAATTTTATATACCTATGCGTTATAATATTCAGCTTCTTGCTGTTATTCTTGTGTGTGTTATAAATTCGCTATACTTCATTCCAGTTTGCTTCTAAATTTGTATTCTTGCAAAAGTTTAGAGACACTATTATTCTCTAATACTTCTGCTACAAAAATTAGCAACAAAGGTAAAACACGGAATGAAACAAGTAATAAACAACTTGTAGATTTAATAAGACATGGAATAAATAAGTGGAAGATTTAATGGATATGCATAAAATTGATCCAGGAAGTTGGTGTGGTATTAAGAGACCACATATCAAACAATAAAGCAAAGAAATGCAAAAACGCATGCATTAAGACCTTCATATTAGACCAGATGGATTGGAAGAATGTGCAATGGAAACATTACGCTAGTAACGGTTATGATAATCTCTAAATAAAATGTATACTTGACAACGGCAAGGCAAGCTAGAAATACTGTCGTTGATCGCTTGTTGTGGCAGTAGTGCCCATTCCTGTAGGAACGCATATCGAAGCTCGCTAATAGTGCCTGGTGGTAGAGTGCAACCTGCTGCATCTGTTGTGCCGTCATGCCTACATATGCTGTATGAGATTCAGGTCCGATGATCTAGCAGACTACGTCTGATCTGGAATTGTTTAACTTACCAGATACCTCCGCACCACTCAAGCTCTATGCGAGCGGGCATTATCGTCCATAAATATCACGTCGGTACTCATTGCAACAATAAAAGGTAGCCCAAGTTTTTCCTTTTTTTTTTTTTTTTTTTTTTTTTTTTTTTTTTTTTTTGCAGCAATAAAGGTGCAGAATTTTTTTGCCATATTGGAAGGCTCTAATGGAGCCACCGGGAACCACGTAGAGTTCGGTGCAGCCGTTCGTTACTATGCCAGACCATACAAGTAAGCCTCCTCCTCTAATAGTCTCTTTCGACAATGTAAGGTGCTCGATAGCGTGTCCCTAGCTCACGCCATATCATTGCCCTTCGGGAATCATTCTGGACATTAAATCGAGTTTCATCTGTAAAGAGTATGTGGATCCCCTGCTCTAGTACCCAGCTACGATTTTTTTTCCAAGAACGTTTTGAACAGATGGGTAGATCACGCGAACTGAGACCTTTCATAACCAAGTTCTTATGCTATTTGCATCATTTATATAAAGTGTACGACATATTTACTACCAAAGCTTCCAACGATAAAGCTTCGGTCAGCTTTTTTCACATAGGCTGTATAAAAGGATTTATCCATCTATCTTTCTTCTCATTCTTGATAAAGTGTAGTTAATGCATCAGGAAGCTCGAGACCCATCATCCTGTGCCTGTACATAAATATTTCTATAGTCTGCAGTTGATGCATTTTCCTTTTTCTAACGGACTTTGGGTTTCGTAAGTGTTACATATATCATAATCCTTCGTTTGTAATGAAATATTCATCCAAAATATCAAAATTATGAATAACGCACAACACATCTGAAATATTTTAATTAAAATTTACAATTGAAATAATGCATGAAAAGTAATGCTTTAATGCATTTTTGCAATGCTATTTATATTTACAAAACTTTATAACTATGCATACGAAAATTCAGTGGAAGAATGCAGTTGCATTAGATTTAAAATAAAATGTTTATCTAAAATAAATATTTGGATTTAAATGAAATATTTTATTTAAAATAAATATTTAAAATAATATGAGAAAAGACCAAAGAAATAAAATACTTCAGAAATGAGATTCAGAATTCTTGTGGTAATGTTGCAGACAGACTAAAAGATATATACTATTCATCGGAAGGTGCTTGTGTTGAAGTAGCAGTCAGTGTTGTTAAATATGTTTATTCCAACATTAAAAATTTAAATTATGACGCAGACTTCATGTTTATCACATACCAAAATTTAAAGCATTTTTTGAGCATTCAAACGATAACACATTGCTAACAGTAACAAAAAGCCTTTTCTTGTTGTTTACATTTTTAACTTTTTACTTTTGTTCCCATGTTCATTTATTCTGATTCTTACTTTGTAAATGTTTGTTCTTTTTTACTATTTATCATTATTCTTGTGTAATACTTGAGCTGTTTTATATGTTTCGATTGATCTTTCCAATAAAGCCATATATAACAACACAATAACACAAAAAGAATTAAAAACAAATAGCGAAGATTTAATGAACTTGTATGCATAGTTTTCAGCAACAATTACTTATAAAAGATATGTGTATAATAGTAGTAAATAAAACTAACTAAATTTAGATTAAAATTATTGTTTTAATGTTAATAATTTTAGCGCTAATAGTTTTAGCGTTAATAATTTTAGCGTTAGTAACAGCGCTGATACAAGAGCGAGGTGAACAAGGCATTCGTATCAGTTGAAAAAAATAAAAAAGAGACAAAATAGTTAAGAATAACTACAATAATTTTACAAGAAATCATCTGAATTTAAATATAAATTAATTAATTACATTATTAATTTGTCGTTTAAAAAACTTTCGGGAGTTTTTAAAATATTGTTTCTCATTTTTTCCTCACAAGCACCTCACAGCTTATGATTATTTGAGGCAATGCAGATCAATGATGACTCAGATAAAATAAAAGTCAGCAGCCCGAGGGACTGCTAATATGAAAATTTTTCCGGTTGTTAGAATCGGTTTTTAAGTCTTTTTTCGGAATTTAATCGGATTCAAAGATGCCAGAAAATTGTTTTGTATTTTTTACACTAATGATAAGCAATTTTTTTTTTATTTTCAGTTAATTAACATTAAAGATTTGTATGTGTGTGTGTGTGTTTAAATTACGTATTCTCGTTTTACCTGGACATAAAATGCTACTTTCGAAATAGCTGTGGTAGCTTAATATTATATTTTAAAATTATTACGTTAAATTTGTGTTGCTAATAAAAAGTGTGCATGTATACGGAATTTACAAAAAGACGATTACAGAATTTATTTCATTAAATACGGGTTCAAAACATACACTATCAGTTATAAAATTTCTTAAAATAAAAACCACAATTTTATGAAAAGATTTTCATTTGTGTAGGTTGAGGTCTATATAATAATAATATCTAATTTGTGCATTGTCCCCAAGAAACACATTGTAAGATCTAATTTTCTTGACTAATATAAACTGCTGTTGAAGACCCTTTTATTGAACTCAGTTATTTACAGATGGCGCAGTTTTTGTGTTTACAAATCCATCATCCACTTGTGGCGATAAAACTAACAATAATGGTGAACAAAACTAAATTTAAAGATAAGCTATTAGCTCAAAACTACGCAAATTATTTAGCTTAGCAGGTTGACTCAAAAACCTACCCGGCATAGTATTAAATTTCGGCGGCAAGAATGCAAAGCCGAGATTCAAAATTCAAACAGCTGGTAGAAACAACAACGTTGGCACTCAAAAGCGAAACTCAAAAGCGAAACTCAAAAGCGAAACAACTTTTTCGCTACTTTAATTTAAATACTCTCTCGTTCCCCCTATCTCATTTACATTCTGGAGAAGAAACGGGAGAGAAACTAGAGATGACAGAAAAGGCTAAAAAATCAAAGTAACTATTAGTAAAAATAATACACACATCACAACATAACATAGTTAATAAAATATTTATTGTTTTCTGATATGCCTGCTGAATTCAAACCAAAATGTTACATCTCTGCGAATTGATTAGAGCAGTGATTCTCAACATGTGGGGCGCGAGCATATCCAAGAGAAAATGTTATTTAAAAAATTGATTAAGTGACTGAAAGGAAAGAACACACACACACACATACAAAACAAAATACATTTCGACATATTTAATAATTAACTTATTAAATTAAAACAACTTACTAAATTAAAAACAAATTTAATAATTATTAGTGACTTCCTTGGGCCTGTCTTGCAGAGCAAAGTTTTTCGAAGGAGGGTTTAATATTAGAAATAGACACTCTCAGTTCTTTTTCTATATTTAACTGAGATCTATATTTTGTCTTCAAAGAAGCCACCGCAGAAAATCCAGTTTCACAAAGGTAAGATGTTGAAACAATTAGTAGAAAGCGAAATTCCCTTGTTTTTAGTGCAGAAAACTCATCATCCACTCCTGCCCAAAATTCAAAGAGTGATTTATTACTAAATTGTCTTTTGGTTTCGCCGCTTGCCGTGAAGTCTATGAAGGTTTCTTCCTCTTCAATGGAGAGTCCTTCGGGAGTATTTTGAAATGGATCCCTCACCCACTTGTAACTTGATATCAGTTTGTCCGTCAGCAAAAATGTACTTTTTTAAAATTCTTTGCTAGCATTGCTAAATGATTTTCAATGGTTACAAAAACAACTTTTACATGTTGTTCTTCAGCCTTGTAAGTTTTAATACAATCATTCAAATTTGCAAACATTGTTAAGTTTTCTTGCTTTAAACTTCTGCTCCACAATTCAAATTTCCTACAAAAAGCATTAACTTTATCATTCGTGTCCAATATATGTGTATTTGCTCCTTGCAGTTGAAGATTCAAGTTATTTAATTTCTCGAATATGTCGACCATGTAGCTCAATTTCATCACAAATAAACTATCGCGAAAATTCTCAGCTTCCGGTCTGTTTTCCTCTTCTAGGAAAACGGCGATTTCTTCTCTTAATTCATAAACACGTTGCAAAAATTTCCCTCGTGATAACCATCTTGCCTCGCAATAAAATAGTAACGCTGAATGTACTGCACCCATGTCTTTACAAAGTGCGGAAAAGATTCTTGATTTCAGAGGTCTCATTTTTATATAATTTACTACGGTTACAACCGTAGTTAACACAATATTCAAACCAGGACTCATTTCTTTGGAAGCCAAAGCTTCTCTGTGGATCATGCAATGTGTCCAGACGCACTGTGGCGATTTTTGTTTCACAAGTGCTTGAATACTTTGGAATCTTCCGGACATAGAACGAGCACCATCGGTGCATATTCCGACGCAATTTTTCCATTCTATGTTTGCCTCGTTCATAAAATCATTTAAGATAGCAAATAATGCGAGTGCTGTTGCTTTGAGTTCTATTGGTTTGCAGAAAAGTAATTCTTCTACTACTGACAAATCATCACAAAATCTAACATAGGCAATGAAATGAGCATCTTTATTACTATCTGTTGCCTCATCGAGTTGTATTGAAAACAATTTGTCACGTAACTTCGACAAAAGCTGACACTCTACATCTTCAGCTATATCAGCAATTCGACGGGCAACAGTATCATTTGAAAGAGGTATAGACTGCAATTGTTTTGCAAAATTATCTCCAAACATAATTTCTACAATCTCAATTGCGGCTGGCAAAATAAGCTCTTCACCAATGGTGTGAGGCTTTTTACATCTGGCTATTTTATATGAAACTTTGTAAGAGGCAAGGCAATTAAAGCTTTTTCATTCACAGACAAAGTTTTTTTAAACAATGATTTTTGCTTTTCATATGATTTTAATTTTAATTCGAAGAATTCTCTGGGTTTGTTTACGTACTCACTATGAAGCGTTTCCAAATGTCGTTTAAGTTTATTAGGTTTCATGCTGTCTGCCGCCAACATTTTTGAGCAAATGATACACAGGGGCCTTTCTTCTTCATTTACTTCAGTACTAGTGAACCCAAAATTTAAGTATTCTTGAGAATATTTTCTTGATTTTATTTTCGGAACCACGCTCGTCTGTGTACTTGTTGATGCTTGTCTATCGTCTAATGCTCGCTTACGCCCGCTTAAAAATTTATCCATGATTCTGCATAAGTCTGCTGCCGTGAATATTTAATACGGTGAATTGCAATTACACGAAAATATATATAACATACACATTCAGAATAGATTCTATAGCGATAGAAGGATCGACTCGAATAAGATTGCCTGGAATTGAAATTGGCGTCATAGAACATTCTCCTTCTCCCTATGAGAAAACATTTATTCACATCTGCGCACGCTCCTAACTTAACTTTTAAGCTGACCAGACAAATTGAAACTTCTCGCGAAACCGTAAGAATGCCCGACATGGCGGGACGCAAGAGCAATAAAAAGGCATAGGATTCTTGTTTTTTCAATGCTGAGGATCGGTGTTGCAAAATGTCAATAAATTTCCGTATTCTTGGTAATTTGTAAAGTTTAAAATTAAGTTTGTAGTGTAGGTTTAGCGCCAAAATACTCAAAATATATTATTATTGTATACATTTTATTGTATGCGGCGGGGAGGGAAGGCGCGATGAAAATTATGATTGAAAATTGAGCCGTGAATACTAAAAGGTTGAGAAACACTGGATTAGAGACAATCTCTTCTATTTTTGAGTGGCAAGATGTAAATTTACCCGAGGTAAAACATTAGTCACTATAACTAGTAATATCTCTTTCGTAGTTTATCGGTTTCAAAGTCACTGCCGTAGATCTTTCTTCTCGAAGACCAGAAAAATTGTATATTTTGGACGTCTTGGTTTATTTAATTATGGAAAGGCGCACTAGGGAAGCCTAAGGGAGGGCTTCCCTAGTGCGCCTTCGTAGAAGACGTCTCAAAGAGAAACTGGCTTGTATACATGTTACACATGGGTAAACCACGAAAATGCCCATGCAGTCAATCCGTTCAGCTGGAATAGAAACCAGATCGGAACGTTCAGTGACTTTACTACTGGTGGGCCCATTCTGGACCGAGCGAACAGCTAAACAATTAAAAGAATGAATTTTAAATCGCTTAATAAAATTAGATTTAAGTTCTAATCCACTGCTTATATATTTAGCTTTGTTCATCAAACCTTTTCTATAATTAATGTTGTAATTTTAATGATGAAATTGTAATATATCTAGTGTGCTATAAAAAATCAATTTTGAAGTCAAGTCAAGAAAACGATATTTGATACAGAATTATTCGTTCCAAGTTCCTTTCTAAGCCGCGATTAGCACGCAGTAATTACGTGCTGTGTTACGGCTGTTTTGATTTAGATGCTACTAAGAGCGCTGAAGGTAGAGAAATGCTTAAGCAGAGCGATGCAGGAAGCTGAGATGTAGAAAGGGGTGTGACTAAAGTCACGTGAGCTTTGAGATGTCATCTGATTGGTGTTGAAGTATTCATCAAAAAGTAACATATATAGAATACAAGAAAAATATTTAAAAAAATGCAGAATAAATAGTTGAAAAACAATATTCTTGGTTAAATAAAGATTATATACATATGTACATAGTTTCAGGAAAGCTTGATTGCAGGAAAAGTATATCTGAATAGCGATGTACACAGGTCACGCGTGACGCCACCTTCCCAAGTGCTGGCTGTAATGAATGCTGCTTCGTTTTTGACTTAGAGTTCCAATAGTCACAAGATGAAATAGATAGCAATTACGTAGGAAAGTTCTGATTGCTATTCGGGATAAAAGCAGCAAAAGGACGGAGATGTCTGTCTTCGTCTAATATTTCATAATGAAATAGATTAAGTAAATTCAGATGTCCCGCCTTTAGCTTTCCTGAAGAAATTGTCATTTGTTTTGCGTAAGAAAGTATCCAGTGGTTCGATTTTTAAGTCCCTGTGGAGTACTTCGTTCAGCAAAAAGTAGTGAGTACTAGTTATCAGTCTTAGAAAACGATTTTGCACAACTTGAAGCTTGATAGTTGAAAGATAGATTAATATCTTTTTGGGGAGATCAAGTTTTGAAAAGCGTCCTAACATAGGATACAAGCATTTCATTACATAGATGGCTTTATTTCTCACATTATTAATGTGGTTAGTCCATGTCATTTTACTATTGAGAGGTAACTCCTAAGTACTTAGCATGTTTCACAACAGGTATGGGTTCATCAAACAATAGGAGTTGCCTCTTTAGGTTATTTTTATTTTTATTTTTTCTGATGATGAGTAGCTGAGACTTGAATGCATTAATTTGTACTTTCCACTTTTTGCATCAGTCTTCTATGAAAGGGATGTGGTCTAGGAGATTTCTAACTGCATGATTCACATTTGCAGATTTCACCGCCAAAGCAGTGTCGTCTGCGTAACACGCTAAAATTTAGCTATTGTTGTAGAGTACAGAAGGGAAGCCCGCAGCATAGAAGAGATAGAAAATTGGTTCTAATACACTCCCTTGAGGAATTCCACTGTGAATTGGACGTTCTGAAGAGAAGGCACCATGAACAGAAACTATGAATTTTCTGCTGGTGATAAAAGAGAAAATAATTAGCAGGAGCTCACGTTCAAAGTTCAAATCAATAAGTTTCGCTATGAGACCCTCATGCCAGACACGGTCGAAAGCTTTCGCCACATCCAGCATGAGGAATAGCAACATTTTGGTTACAGTGACGAGCTGAGCCTATAAACTTCAGTCAATCTTACTAGTTGTTTGGAAGTTGAAAGGTGAAGCTCTGAACCCAAATTGTTCAGGGTGCAGTAAAGTGAAGATAAGACTTCATTTTTTCCAGTAGAATTCTTTCAAAGTCTTTGCTTAGGCTCGGGAGGAAGACTTATTGGACGAAATCTGTCTGGTTGAAGTAGACTTTTCCCTGGTTTGGGTATCATGATAATCTTTGCAACTTTCCAGGGGTTGGGGTAGTAAGAATTTGAAATGCAAGCATTGAAAATGCTAGTAATTTTGGTGATGATGTTACTCGGGAGATGGTTTAAGGTATTTTTAGTGATACAGTCGATTCCCGGTGCTTTCTTTTGATGTAATTTTCTTATAATATAAGAAACTTCAGCACGAGTAGTTAATTTACAAATATTATTCTTGGCTGTTTGGCAGAATTATTCGATGCTAAAAATGGCATTAAAAGCAAATTAAATTTTCAAAACGCTTAATTAATTGACTTTTATAACTCCCGCTATATCTTTCAATATAATTCGGGTGACCAGTTACATTTCCTTTTCAAATGAATAAACGTAGTAAAGACGTAAAATAAGGTCTAAATACATAGCTGAAAGAACTATTTAAAACAAACACTTAATGAATTTATACAGTGAAACTTCCAAATGAATAAATTTTTTGCTGATTTAAATTAGCATAATTTAAAGTGAGAATTTTGTATTTAAAATAGAGGAAGAAATATTGCCTGTTTGTATTATAACTGGAATTAAATAATGCCTTGTTTGCCAAAAAGCGATTTAAAGCTAATATTTATCACGAAATATTCCTCCATAACGCATTGGAATATTTAAAACCCTTAGGCTTCATCTTTGACGCCTGGTCCTTTAATGAGATGCAATTACGTACTTTTCTCTAAACCGCTTTAAGTAGATTAACTGACATTTCGACATGCCTCACTACCTAGAATTTTGCAGCTTAAAGTCATTAGTAAGCCATACGTCACATAAAACTAAAACTGAAGAGATATTAAAGATTTATGTATGTGGGTTAATAAAATTCCAGCTGAAAGTTTAATTAAACATGACATGAACACGGAACATTACAGTACTTGATAATTGGATATTTGCTCTCTTATAATTAGCATTTCTCTGGAAAGAACTGAATATCATTCGTTATAAATGACATTTAATTTTATATTCTATTGTCCATTAACATACAAATATTTATATCTTCAATGAAAATTTTAGTGCGGCTAGGTGTAAAATGAACAGTGCAATTTACAATTTACAAGAAATAAAATGCAATGCGTAGAAATGAATGACAGTAATTAAGCTGTTGCTTTAAATCAACCACTTTTTATACAATTTTTAGAAAAGTATTGCTGTGTAGAAACAATATTATATAGGGTGTCCCAAATGCTGCACAAAATTTTTATTTATAAATTGAACCTTTATTTATGCATGGATTGTGAAACTTTTAACATACTTTGAAAGCGTAAACATTCCGATTAAATATGGAAAATAATATCCTGCAAATGACCACCACGTCTCGTATGATTCTCTTAAAATCTTTTGACCCATCAGATATCGCTTTTAAGTTCCAGAATGGTTGGTGTGTGTTTACTGTAAAATTTGGACTTAACGAATACCCAGAGATAAAAATCACATGATGTAAGATTACATGCGACATGCGACGGAGGACGTGGGCACCACCCCTCTACCAATACGGTTAATCGGTATAGCGCCACGTCCACCTTTATCTAGATAACCATATGTGTTCATTGTGCTAAATACTAATATATAAGCATATACAAATTTGGTCTTCATACAGTGGCGTTAAAGCTAATTAATGTTAGACACTGGATAATACATTGCCATGTTACAAGGGTATGCAAAAGCATGGATACGGTAGCATATATACATAACGTGTGTACTCATATGTTGAGTACACTATGATCCTTTGAAGCATTATCATTAGATTACAGAAGACATGT